GGGGCTCGTTAGAGATCTGAGTGCGCGGAGTCCCTGTCGGAGTGTGTTCTGGTTACATCGTAAAAACAGCCCTGCGCAAACAAGTCTGCTCTGAGTTTTAAGAGTTCAGAGCTCAAGTGCGCGGGGAGCTGCGATTTATTGGTGACGATTGAAAGGTAATGCGATCGCAGGATGAAGCGCAGGGAGTCGGGACGGCCCCCCGGGATGAAAGGCTGCAGGGGTGCTGGCGCCCTCACACTGCCCTTCCTGCCCCCGACCCTCCCGCAGGCAGCCCTGCGCCAGCCAGAGCAGCCTCAAGGACATCAACTGGGACAGCTCACAGTGGCAGGCCCCCGTCCCAGGCCGCCGCCTTCTGTCAAGATCCCCTCGGAGCAGGAGCAGCTGCGGGCGCGGCAGATCACGGCCCAGCAGATCAACAAGCTGGAGGAGCTCTGGAAGGTGAGGGCCTGCGGGGCGCGGTCAGCCTGGCCACAGGGGACCCTTGGAGGGCCTGCAGGGGCTGGGGGGCATCTGCAGCCCAGGCTGCCTTGAGGACAGGTTCCCAGAGCACCGTCTGTCCCTGGCAGGCTGCTCGGAGCCTCGTCCCTGCCCTTCCCAACCAGTAGGCCTCTGGCCTTGGGAAGAGAGGCAGAGTGGCCAGGTGGAGCCCGACCGAGCAGAAAGGCAGGCAGGAGGGGAGAGTGAGTTTAACCCTGGGCATGAGTGAGGACAGCATCAGCAGGGGAGAAGAGGGAGTGTGCTCTCAGGTCACAGAGTGGGGTCCTGCCCCTGCTGACCCCACCGTCTTCCACGGAAGCGCTTCTCTGCTGCGCTAGGTTTTGTGATAGGCTTAATTCTTTTTTTTTTGGAGAGGTTTTTTTTGCTCTACGGCGCGTGCGCTCACCAGAAAGAGAGAGACAGAGAGACAGAAAGCGAGAAATCACCCCCAGGGGGATGGCCACGCCGCAATCCCTTCTCCTCCATTCTCCTCTAGGGATCTTGGGCACGCACGCACACGCGCCCAGCGTGAGTTTAAGCCACCGGGTCCGGGACGTGAACCACGGTCAACTCCAGGAGAGTCCAGCGACATAGCCATTATGCTAACTGCTGGTCCTGGTAACGTTAATTCTAAAATCTAGGTTGGACATTTCAAGCCAACACCCGTCCAACCGGAAATCACTTTCTTTTTTAGGGGTCTTTGCCATAGGGTGTGTGCTTGCCGGAGAGACAGAGTCAAAGAGAAGGAAGACAGAAGTCACCCCAGGGGGTGGCTACCCCGCAGTCTCCCTCTGTTCCCCTTTGAGCATTCTGGCCACGCACACACACACTCCTGGTATGATTTCTTCAAGCCACTGGGTCCAGGGCTTGAACCACCATCAGCCATGTGGGAGTTCAGTGCTTCTGCCACTACGGCACCTACTGGCCCCAAAAGTCTTACATTAGGAACTCACGTTGGAACCAGCCGATGGCGTAATGGTTATGTCACTGGACTCCCACAGAGTCGACCACGGTTCAAGTCCTGGACCTGGCGCCTTGTAACTCATACTGGGTGTGTGTGCATGAGTGCCCCAAATCCTAAGAGAGTGGAAGAAAAGAGATTGCAGTGTGGCTACCCTCCCCGGGGAGTGATTTTTCACTTTCTGTCTGTCTGTCCAACGAGTGCATGTGCCCTATAGCAAAAAGCTCTCTTAAAGTAAAAAAAGGAATTCTGAGACCAGCATTTGGCATAATGGCTATGTCGCTGGACTCCCACGTAGTCGACCGCGGTTTGCGTCCCGGACCCGGTGGCTTAAACTCACGCCGGGCACATGTGCGTGCGTGCCCAAGATCCTGAGAGGAGAATGGAGGAGAAGGGATTGCGGCGTGGCCATCCCCCTGGGGGGTGATTTCTCGCTTTCTGTCTCTTTGTCTCTGTCCGTCTTTCTGGCAAGAGCACGTGCCCTATAGCAAAAAGCTCCGAAAATAAAATAAAAAGGAATCCTTGTTAACCTCAAGCACAAGTCAGAATGTTCTCCAGGCTCTGTGTTGCCCAGTACTTCGCCCTTGTGATTTTCAAGCCCAGGTACTCTCCTTCCCCACAAGTACCGAGCTCCCTAGGGCGAGTGGGCCAGGGGAAGGGGTGCTTGGCCAGCTCGGGGCCAGCAGGACGTGGAATGGGGCACACAGCGAGGGGACCCTTGGCCTTGGGCAGCCCCCACGAGGCTCAGCCGCTCTTGCGCACGGGCTGGGCGCTCTGGGAGGACATGCCCTTGATGGGGATCGCCGTGCTGGGCTGTAAGCCCGAGCCTCCGGGGCAGGTCCTCCCCAGGTCCAGAGCAACAGCTGGGCACAGGCACGTCCCAGGCTGGCAGGGGACAATAGGAGCCTGGGTGAGGCCGTCCCCGGCTCCCTGCGTGGTGTGGAGTTCCTGTGGGCTGAACGGGCCCCCTCTGCCGAGCTCCTCTGCCCCAGCCCGAGGAGCAGCACGGGCCTGCCCCTGCGGGGTCCCCCAGGCTCCCGTTCACTTGCTTGTGGGCGAGAGCGGGGCGAGCAGCACGTGTCCTCGTGTCCCAGGAGAACCCGTCGGCCACCCTGGAGGACCTGGAGAAGCCGGGGGTGGATGAGGAGCCCCAGCACGTGCTGCTGCGCTACGAGGACGCCTACCAGTACCAGAACATATTCGGGCCCCTGGTCAAGCTGGAGGCCGACTACGACAAGAAGCTGAAGGAGTCGCAGGTGACGCACGCACGGCTGGGCGGCCGGGCTAACCGGGGTCTCTCCGCAGGCCTCTGCTCAGGCTGCCCCCACCCCGGTCTCGGAGGACACGTCGGCCTGTTTCTAACTCCATTGAGGCTCCCTCGCTTTGCCCCCCACAGTTGCCTTGCGCCAGGGCTCCACGGAAACCACGTCGAACAGCCCGCAGCCTCCTCCTCCCTCCAGCCGTGCCCCCGGCCTGTGGCTCAGAGAGGCCTCCTCCGGGGCAGGGGGCCTCCCGTTGCTGAGACGCCTCCAGACGGGATCGTCTTGTGTGGGCTGGGGCTTCCTAACCACTTCTCTCCTAGAGATGCCCGTCGGGTGCCACCCGCTCGCTGCACCCCGCTGGCTGTCGGCGCAGCCTCCCTGGAGGCTCAGCAGGGCCCAGGCCTGGCGGCGGCAGCCAGGGGGATCCAGGCCCGAGCCTGCCGCGGCTAACCCGGCTCTTGTTTCCGTGTGCTTAGACTCAAGATAACATCACGGTCAGGTGGGACCTGGGCCTTAACAAGAAGAGAATCGCCTACTTCACTTTGCCCAAGACTGACTCTGGTAATGAGGACTTAGTCATAATTTGGTTAAGAGGTGATTTTAAGTTTTAAAATATTCGCGACCATAAGTAGCGTACAATCCCTAGTTCCGCCCTCGTAACGTGCCCCTGACTTTGACCCTGGTGGGCGTGGCGGCGCCCGAGGAGCGCTAACCGGCTCGCTTTCTCCCGAAGACATGCGGCTCATGCAGGGCGACGAGATATGCCTGCGGTACAAAGGGGACCTCGCGCCCCTGTGGAAGGGGATCGGCCACGTGATCAAGGTCCCCGACAGTATCCTTCACGCCGCGGGCCGGAGAGCGGGGCGGGGCCTGGCTGAGCCCGGATGTCGAGCTTCTCGGTGGGCCCTGGCTTGTGGGCCCTTCCCTGCTCCTAGGGAAACCCTCGGACCTGAGCTTGCCTGGATCGGCGCTCACAGGGCTCCTTCCCCTCTGCGGGTGGCGTGTCTGCAGCGCCGGGCTGTGTCTGTCTGTCTGGGCTGACCTTTGGGGCTGGAGTAGCTCTGAGTAAGGGCCGTGCCTGGAGCCGATGCGCTCTGCGTGGGGCACCATGTGCAGACGCTCAGTGTGCACGATGACACGCGTGACCTCAGGTGCACGGCGCGCTGGCCGGTGGGGTCTCGCCCCTGTGTAACCGGGTGCCAGGGCAGGCTGTGCTGTGGCCTCTCCCCAGGTGTGGCTGAGGGCTCTGGGGCCTGCCCGGACCCAGTGGTAGCCTCGGGGTTGTGAGGTGGGGTGCCCTGCCCCTCAGAGCCATGCCCTGCTTGCGTTTCTGCTGTGAGAACATCGTGGGTCCACGTGAGGGGAGGGGTGCTGCCCAGCCCACTGGCCGCGGCCTCCCGATGGGCTGAGGACGTGCTGCGCGCGGGGTGTCCTGTTGGCCACTGTGTGTGCAAAGCCTCGGAACCCTCACTTGGTCCTCAGTCCCGCCTGGACTGAGGGGCGAGAGCTGCCCTGCCCGCAGCCAGGGTGTTCCAGGCCGTGCACCCAAGGGCTCGGCAGCCACTCCCCGCCAGCTCGGCCCCGCCGCCCCTCCCGAGGGGGCCAGAGGCAGTGGCTGGACAGGCTTCAGGGTCACGGAGAAGGTCGTCGGGCAGCCGGCCTTCCTGTGTGCTCGGGGGTGTGGGCGTATCAGTGCTGGGCACAGTCCCCGAATGGCCGCCTGAGCGGGAGCAGAGACCTCGGGTGCCTAGGGAGGGGAGCGGCTTTGACGAGGACGCAGACTTAACTCGGCGGCACAGATTACGGCGACGAGATCGCCATCGAGCTGCGGAGCAGCGTGGGCGCACCCGTGGAGGTGACCCACAACTTCCAGGTGGATTTCGTGTGGAAGTCGACCTCGTTCGACAGGTGGGTGCAGTCTGCCGGGGCGCTGCTGCCATCCCCGCACCCGGGACGGCGCGGCGCTGACCCGCACTCGCTGCAGGATGCAGAGCGCGTTGAAGACGTTCGCCGTGGACGAGACCTCCGTGTCCGGCTACATCTACCACAAGCTGCTGGGCCACGAGGGGGAGGATGTGATCATCAAGTGCCAGCTGCCCAAGCGCTTCACGGCCCAGGGGCTCCCCGACCTCAACCACTCTCAGGTGCGCCGGCCTGGGGCAGCCTGCGCCTCGGCCCCGTGGCCGTGGGGAGGGCCCGGCCCTGACGGCCGCTCGGCGTGTGCTTGCAGGTATATGCCGTGAAGACGGTGCTGCAGAGACCGCTCAGCCTGATCCAGGGCCCGCCGGGCACGGGCAAGACTGTGACGTCGGCCACCATCGTCTACCACCTGGCCCGGCAGGGCAACGGGTAGGGCGCGGCTGGGCACGCCGCAGGGCGGGGAGGGGTGCTGGGGGCTGGACAAAGGTCTGTGCTGAGAAGCCTGGGACGCGCCTGTCACAGCGGAGTATCCCCGAGGGCCTGCCAGCTTGCTGGCCTGCGTCATGGCATCTCAGTCCCCACTGCTGTCGTGACGGCGCAGGGTCACACGTGGCGAGTCCTGGCGTGCCATCGTGCACCTCAGGACTTAGAGGGGACGTCCCAGTGGGGACAGGGCGAGGGTGCAGGGAGTCCTCGGCCCCCTGGTGGCGGCGCGTCCTGGGTACACTGGGCTGTCTGCACGTTTCAGGCCCGTGCTCGTCTGCGCCCCGAGCAACATCGCCGTGGACCAGCTGACCGAGAAGATCCACCAGACGGGGCTGAAGGTCGTGCGCCTCTGTGCCAAGAGCCGTGAGGCCATCGACTCCCCAGTGTCGTTCCTGGCCCTGCACAACCAGATCCGGAACATGGACAGGTGGGCGGGAGCCACCCCCCGCAGCCGGGCCGGTCCTCAGCCCTCGGCCGCACAGCTGACTCCCCCGTCCCCGCTGTCCCTCCAGCATGCCGGAGCTGCAGAAGCTGCAGCAGCTGAAGGACGAGACGGGGGAGCTGTCATCCGCCGACGAGAAGCGCTACCGGGCCCTGAAGCGCACTGCCGAGCGCGAGCTGCTCATGGTGAGTGCCCGGACCGTGGGCCGGGGACCTCTGGGCTTGCACTCTGTCCTCGCCGAGGGACCTGCCTGACACCGCCGAGCCTACCCTGGCACCTTCCATTGGGTTTCCGTTTTTATTCTTTATTGGTCAGAGGGCACATGTGTGGGCCAGGGGCCAGGGGCGAGCGAGCGAGCATGGGGCACGGTCAGACCGCAGTCCTCTCCCCATGTCCCCACCCCGTCGGGGGCTGGGCACCCGTGCACATGCTCCCACACGTTCTCAAGTCCCGGGTGCCAGGCGGAGACTGCGGCGGGCCGTGCGCGATCCGCCTCCCGGACCCTCCAGCGGTGCAGCTGGCTCTCTGTCGTGTCCTTCACGACAAAACGACAGGGCGGGAGTGTGAGGCGTCCTCGGCAGGGTCTCACCCCACCACAGCCTCTTTCCCGGCACCCCTGGGTCAGTCCACAGTCGCCCTCTGGCCTCCACCCTGCAGGGTGCCTGCGGTGCCATGCCACGGCGGCTGGGCCTCGTTGAGCTCGTGACGGGAGGACTCATACCCTCGTCGCTGACCTCAGATGCGTCTCGCTGCCAGAGGCACATGGCGTGTGTGCCGCCTCGCCCCTGTGGCCGGGTGACAACGCGGGTACCCTGATGCCCTGCACCCCTCCCCAGAACGCAGATGTCATCTGCTGCACGTGTGTGGGCGCTGGCGACCCTAGGCTGGCCAAGATGCAGTTCCGCTCCATCCTGATCGACGAGAGCACCCAGGCCACCGAGCCGGAGTGCATGGTCCCCGTGGTGCTCGGGGCCAAGCAGGTGGGCCGCCTCTCCTCCGCCATGCGTGTGTGTAAGAGCGAGACACCCCCCTGATGCCAAGGCACGCCCTGGCAGAGTCCAGCCGAGTGTGCAGGGCTCTCGGGGGGCCCTGAAGGGTGACCCCCAGGCTGCTGGCCTGTGCCAAGCCCAGTCCAGTCCCCAGGGCAGGTCAGACGTCACGCTCGGCCGTTCGGGCCCGAGCTGCTCACGCCACGTGACCTGTCCCCGCAGCTGATCCTCGTGGGCGACCACTGCCAGCTGGGCCCGGTGGTGATGTGCAAGAAGGCGGCCAAGGCGGGGCTGTCGCAGTCGCTGTTCGAGCGCCTGGTGGTGCTGGGCATCCGGCCCATCCGCCTGCAGGTCCAGTACCGGATGCACCCCGCGCTCAGCGCCTTCCCCTCCAACATCTTCTACGAGGGCTCTCTGCAGAACGGCGTCACTGCGGGTAGGAGGGGCTCGGAGGGGGAGGGGCTGCCGGCGGGATTGCCTGACTCTGGCACGCGCGGCGTGGGCGAGCTCAGGTCCTTGTCGCGTTCAGAGTTCGACTCGGGGCTCACGTGCTCACACTCAGCACCAGGCCAGCGCGTTACCAAGGTCGCCGGTTCTCAGCCTGAGCCCAGGTCCTGGGGTCCATGAGCCTACTTCCTGTCGGACGTCTGGGGGATTGTGGCCAACCAGTGCCTTGTTGCGAGTCAGCGCAGTGCCAGGGCCCGCGTCGCCACCACCGCCAGACGCTCCCAGAAGGGCCCTGGGCAGAGGACGGGGGTGCCGGCTGGGCTGGCCCAAGTGCACGTCCTTTTGTTGTCGAGTAGGGGGGTGAGTGCTCTCGTGAGACGTCGTCGGGCGGGCGCGGAGGGGGACTGGCACACGGGGCCTGCTCGGGCGCATGGCTGCTGGGAAGCGACCAGAGGCCCTCACTACAGCACCTGTTTGCAGAGACTGAGTCTGAGGACTCAGAAGGGGATTGGGGAAGCATGTCTCCTGCTTGAGTGCAGAGATGGGTGTCATCCCAGTTACTTAGTGACGCCTGCACTGGCAGAGACGGTGACAAGGGACTGTGTTTGCAGCTATCCCTGAAACGCGCCAGCCTCGGGAAGATAGGCTTGCCTCCGTGGGTAGACGGTCCAGTCCGAGTGACCAGCGTGCAGGGTTACCAAGTCGCAGGCCGAGCAGGGAGGGTGGTGGGGTCAGGGCAGAGACCACACACAGTCGGAGGTCGTGAGACTCTCCTGCCTGCCAGCTGGGAGGCCGGGCTTTGCTCACGGACTCGGCCACCGCGGGAGACCCCGGGACGCAGCTGGGGTCCCAAACACCAGATCAGGGTGGGGGGTCCTGCGAGGCTAGAGAAGACGACCACTCACTCCTCTTGCTCAGTCTGTTCTCAGAAAACACGAGAGGGCCTCTGATAAGCTCGTGGAAGATGTGTCTTCTGAAAACGAGGTGTGAGTTTCAAGTTCTACACCAAAAAGAACATGAAAATTCTATATC